TGTATTTCGTTATTTACAGAGAACCATATTTATTGATAGAGCTCAGTTGGTTTAAGAATGAAAATGAAACACTAGTTGTATTTCAACTCCTTGTCGTCAAAGTTGTAGTTGTGATGTACATGTATGTAAGGTAGCGAATTATACTTATCAGCGTTGAGTCATACTGTAAGCATGAACAATAAAATTGGCAGAGCGTATATGTAACCATCGTGCCTTTAATACGCTCCGTGCCTATACCTATGATTGTATTTTTGCTTTTAGTTATTCAAAATATATTATTTTCTTCATTTTACTTTGTACCCAATACATTACATAAAATATTTTTAACAATTCTTGAGGACCAGACCCGATTTCTGAATTTTTTAACCAACTTGTCAAACCCGTTAAACTTTTTTTCATACATAATAATCAAAACAATTTTTCAGCTTGGAATACCGGCACTTGGATTTTCTCCAATGAATAACACAAAAATATTACTTCACGATCATGATGAACACTTAAATAAGGATGTCTTTATTCGTGGAATTCAGATATATGAAGAAATCATTAAAGCCATTTCAAATGTATAGTTGATAAAATGGAGTTGTAATTACATTTTAATTTTTGTGAATAATGTTTTTATTATTAAAAAATTTATTGTACTGATTTAAATAAGTCACAACAAACATTTATCTTATAAAAAAGGTTTAAATAATAAAAACTGAAGAACAATTGTATTTAACTCAGCTACCGGTTTTGATCTGCGTTATTTTTTTAAGTAGTAAATATTTTCTTTCATTTTATAAGAAACACCTATCCTAAGTCTTTTTTCCTATTAATTTTTTGCTTTTTACACTTCTTGATAAATCCAGTTTGGATACTCCCAAACCTCTTTAAATAAACAACTATATTCTTAAATTACTTTTACATTTTCTTAATTCATCGTAGATTTACACATTTTTATGCATTGAGTTGCGACGTCATTTTACCATACTTATACATGGTTAATTGCAAATGATCAGAATTCTTCAAGCAAAGTTTGTCTTATATGCTTATTTATTGTACCATCGACTTTCGGAAAAAATATAATTTAGAAATCATGCAAGTTTTATAATATGAAAATTCGATGTCTAAGAAGTTATTCTCTAACCCAATTTTTTTTTTTTTTTTTTGCTAGTATTATAATTTTTAATTTGGCAGGACAAACAGGTAATGAAAAATATACCCTTATCCATTTTTATGGTCCTGTGGTTTTAAGTCTAAGAAAAATACGGAGAAAGTTTGTCTTAAATTAAAAAAAAAATAGTTTCCGAAAGATTACATTATATTGACGCCTCAAACAAGAATAAACTGAATTCAGAGTCTAATGCGAAAAAAAAAACCCATTTAGCCACCTAAGTGAAAGTAATTTAAGTTGATTAATTGGTAAAAACTTTTTTAAACAATAGGCTAAAAATTAAAAGCATAATAACAGTTTATATGTATAGTCTGGATTGAAAATAACTAATAAAACTCATTATTAACAAGTGTCTGTCACAAGTTGTTATTAAAAATTATNTTTTATAATATTTATACACTTTGTCCTATATTATATAATTTTTTGTGTTGGGCATTCTACACAGACCCCTATTGCCCCCCAACAGGCCCTAGTAAAATTCTCACCACTTCCAATAGCCCCCCACAAACTAAAGAAAGACTCTTTTTTTCTTTATTTTCACATAGCACTTTTGTTGTCTAAATCCCCTACTACCCCCTTAACGCCGTCACAGACCTCCATAACCCCCTAAAAGCCAGCCCACCTTCAGATCACCACGTTGATTTTTTCTTGACCCACCATCGCCCCCCACAGCCTTTTACACTATTTTTGGTGAACCTTACCGATACCCTACCACCCTTGATGGGTTATCACTACACACGCACATGTACACTTTTTATTTTATTTTTAAGATTATTGTATTATTTAACCACGATAAGACATAATTCCTCTATTGCTATTTCAAATTAGATTTATTATAATAAATTTATGTACAAATATTAAAATAGATCAGCAAGTAAATGTATGTTTATACAAGTGGAAATTCATTGTAGTGAGTGCAGGAGCTGTCTTACAAATTATCTTATTCCATGAAGAAGTTATCTGTATTTCGTTATTTACAGAGAACCATATTTATTGATAGAGCTCAGTTGGTTTAAGAATGAAAATGAAACACTAGTTGTATTTCAACTCCTTGTCGTCAAAGTTGTAGTTGTGATGTACATGTATGTAAGGTAGCGAATTATACTTATCAGCGTTGAGTCATACTGTAAGCATGAACAATAAAATTGGCAGAGCGTATATGTAACCATCGTGCCTTTAATACGCTCCGTGCCTATACCTATGATTGTATTTTTGCTTTTAGTTATTCAAAATATATTATTTTCTTCATTTTACTTTGTACCCAATACATTACATAAAATATTTTTAACAATTCTTGAGGACCAGACCCGATTTCTGAATTTTTTAACCAACTTGTCAAACCCGTTAAACTTTTTTTCATACATAATAATCAAAACAATTTTTCAGCTTGGAATACCGGCACTTGGATTTTCTCCAATGAATAACACAAAAATATTACTTCACGATCATGATGAACACTTAAATAAGGATGTCTTTATTCGTGGAATTCAGATATATGAAGAAATCATTAAAGCCATTTCAAATGTATAGTTGATAAAATGGAGTTGTAATTACATTTTAATTTTTGTGAATAATACAGAAAACAGTTGTCATTTGTTCTAGCTTTTTCCACAACAATTAATAACTCGCAAAGATAAAATTTGGATAAATTTTAATTTTACTAGAGAAGTCATTCTTTCCTCACGGTCAACCATACGTGTTGGTATGAAGATGTGGAAATCCTAAATATCAATTTATACCAAACGATTTGGAGAATTTAATAAATATGAATGAGTCATTAAATCTGTCAGTTTCAATTAATCTCCGGGAGGATCGGCGCGTGAAGCGCGTAGAGAGGCAAAGCCCTACTAAGATATATCTTTCTATATTATATAGTTGTAAAGGTGGGGCTTTCCACACAACCCCCCCCCCCCGCAAAATAAGGGGAAATTTGTATACTGTGAATGATATTTTAACCCAACAAAATAATAGCCGAAGACCCACTTAGCCCCCCTGACCATCTGCAGCTCCCCACACAATTTTCAATGACTCCTATGACCCTTTTCTCGTAGCCCCTCCTTCCCCGCAGCCCCCCGTAATAATGAGGAAAAATTCCGTTCATTTCACCTTTATTTTGATCCGTTAAAAATCTTTCTTAGATTTCTCTAAGTCCCCCACGCCCGTCCCCCGCACGATCTGAAGAGCCCCCCACCGCCCCTCTACAGCCCCTCCACAGCCACCCCACTATATGTTATGTTAGCTGTAGCTAGCAATCGCAAGCCACAGCTCCTACAACTTACGGTAAACGATCTCTTAGCTATATATAGCTATCAATTTTTTCACACCACCCAGGAGGCTAATAGATAAATAACTAACTAACTTAACAATAAAAAAAAACTTACTTAGGGTGAGTTAAGCAGATATAAAATAATACATGTGTACTTTTTTTACCCTCCTGCGCGCTTAGTGCGCTGACTTTTTGTTAGCAGACGATAGTTAAATTAAATTAAACAAAATTAAAGTAGGTTGATTAACCTCTGAATAAATAAGGGGCAACTCAAGCACCTCTAACTAAGCAATTTACTGCTGATGAGGGGTTGGCGCGCGGAGCGCGCAGGAAGGCGTAAGCCCCACCAGTGTGTATACATATATACATACATCTTTATGTAAGGTGACTTATGTGGACCCCACGTGCTATAAGAATATTATTAATAACATTATAAAGTTATGTGGACCGTCCGCATAAGTACGATTTTGTCCTCTTAATAACCTTTTTTTACCGAATGATGTCCGTATAAGTCACCATTGATAAGGATTTATATATATACACATATGGGTATCAAAAGCCAACCGAAAATTAAAATGCTAAAAAATTAGAATTAAATTTATTGATTATTTAATCTCAAAAATTTTAAAGTAATACAAAAGTAGCTTTTTTCTTACGCTAATAGACGAAAATAATATTATTTGTTATAAATCTATTCACTTGATTTTGGTAGAGCTACAGAAGAAGGACAGTCAGCTGTAGGGTACGAGCCTACTAATCTCTATCGACTTCTTGCTGGAACTGCCGCTCTACGCTAATTCTTGCTCAATGTTTCGCTTTGCTTCCTGAACCACCTATTCCGCTATAATCACGTGATGTAAAATATAATGCGTATAAGTGAAATTAAATCACTGTAGGTATCCCACATTACAACAACAAAAAATGGATGCGTCGTGGGACGTACCGCAAAAGTGAGAACTTCAAAAGCAATTGAAATGTATATGGATTAACAGAGAAAGCAAGAGTTTGTAATTGAAATAGTTAGGGGTTGGAAGTTATTGATAATTGGCACAATAAAAAATGAATCTGAACACAAAATAAAATAGTCCTTTTATCATTATGTACATTAATGTGTGTTTCACAAAATTTATAGTACTCATACTGTTGCCATAATTATCCAGTATTATAAAGCACATTGTCATGATGCTCATTGAAAATGAATTCACTCATTAACATTGCACAAACGTGTGTACACATGTAAGAAGTTATATTTCGTAAAGCTATCTTTTAGTTAATTATTAGCTTTTTTTTTAGTTCTATGTGCGTACAATAATTCTAAGCGTATAAGTTTTGTAAGCGGTTGTAATACAATACAATCGGAAAAATCCGTTAAATTAAACATTGCAGTATTCTGCAGTTATTCCAGGATCACAAATTTTTCTTTTTTTTCAACTTGTACTGTATGTATTCGTACTGTAATTTGTATTTTTCTGTATTGCATAACATATAGTATCACCAATCCAAAAATCCCAAATGTTGTTGATATAAATATGTAAAACTATATCTAATGCTGTATGGGTTTCCTCAAACAGTGACGTACACAATTTCGTCATCTTGTTTTAAGGTGAAGTATCGTTAATTGTCTTTTACATTACATTTCATATTCGAACTTTATCGATGAAAACTTTTTTTGAACATTATTTTTAATACTTATATGTTATTATACTGCATGTGAACATCAATGTACAATCCCACATGTGTTTATNACGATTTCTGCCAGAATAGTTATTTTAAAAGGAGATCCTACAACATTAGTGATAACATATTTTATTACAATAATAATATAATTTTAAAAAATCCTTATATTCAAAGTGTTTTTATGTGTAACTGAAATAAGCTACATTAAATCAACTCAAAATCATCTTACACCTACGTAACAAAGAGCAAAATTATGAAAAATTAAAATTGCCAGTTGTTTCGGTATTTAATATTAATTATTGATAAAATATATTCTTCAGTAAGCAAGCATTAGTGATTAGCACCTTAATTGTTTTTAAGCATTATTTAATAATGAAATGTGCACTAATGTCAGCAAACATCGATGACTAAAATCGAACTGTATTCTAGTACTATTTTAAAAAGTACGTATCCTCGGGCGAGCAAGCATTAGCCATAAGCTACCCAACTGTTTTTTAGTATTATTTGATGATAAAATGAAACCATAAGCAAGCAAGCCCGAGTGATTCGTAACTCAACTATATTTTAGTACTACTTATAAATAAACCTACCGTTAGGCGAGCAAATAGTAGCGATTAACGAT